TAATGTTCTCTCAAGTCCGCGTGTTGTGTGCAGTATGAGCGCAAAATCTACTTTGCACATTGTGTGTTTTTAACACACTTGCTAAGGGAGAGTAGCTCTTAGTGAACAAATAAATATCTCATTGCATTTCCGATAATAATTACAACTTTTAAATAAATTAAAGTGGGCGGGTCGTCACCTGCGCACGCGTTGGAATATTGAGTTCCAAGCGACGATAACAACACACGCTAAAAATGCGAAGGCTCATGGGTAGACGCTTGTTTGTAAACAATGACACGCTATGGCCATCTGACGCATGCGCGGGTGACGACTCCCTCGCTTAAGTCCACCAAGAAAAGACGGCTGTTACAGTAAATCAATTTAGCAAGTACATGTACAATTGGAGACGTCATCATGTTGGGTTATACAAATAAGTTTAAATACTGGAAGCTTGCGGTGTTGACATTGCATGGAAACCAAATTTCTATACATTATGAGAAAGTCATCGTTTCAGATAAGAAATCAATAATTATTATTATTACCGATATAGTGATATCAGCCTCCTGACATTTGATTCCGAGCATTACTTTGTTAGCACATAAACGCCATGGCCATGTGACATGCTCATTGTCGAGGCAGTTGTCTTGAAGGACGTTTTTTCTGACTGAATGGAAATATATCACATATTTCATGACTGTACAGTTTATCAGTTTGGGTCTGACCACTTCATAACCACTATCATGAGGAGATGTCTCCCGGGTCACAGTCTCTCTATCACAGTTTATTGCACTCATAATTAGTGGTGTATCAACACTATCTATCACATGATACATGATAAATGTGACGTAATGACAATGTAAACAAACCATCATGGGAGGAGTCTAGAACGCTTCACTGTTGGAACAGCTCAGCAGATCAGATGCAAACATCCTTACCTGGTCAACCATTCCTGGTCACTTCATAACAAACATGAAGTTGTTTCTTGTTTTTATTCTGACGATTGTATCGGTGTCATGCGTAGAAAAGGATTCCACAGATGGGTGTAAGTGAAATTATATTTAAAATATGTATTTATTGCAATCATTATTTTGTATATCTGGTTTAGTCAGCACATGTCTTGTTCATCAAGCACTGTACAAGAACTAACTGTTATTATAAGCGAGTTATTATAAGCCAATATTGAAACTAAATTTTGCAGACTGGGAAAGGTACACCCGTTTCATGAAAGCCATTGGACCTGTTGCACATAAAATGGTTCCCGACAAGACGTCGAGCATCCCGGTGAGAAAATTGTATTAACATTTTTTACGATATTCCATTTTTCTGTTACATATCTGAATTTATACTGAATATACTATAATATCTTATGTTTTTAGAGGATACAGCACAAATTTGACTGTGAAATTATACCTCGATCAACGACAAGGCCTACGTCAGGTGAGTGCAAACACAGTTACACAGTAATAACACTTTTTGTCACTTCTTGTCAACTATAATAATTCAGCTACTGGGTTTGGATATGCCGATGAGATATGCTAGAGGTGGATGTACATAGTTCAGGCACATGGAAATTTTTCAAACATGTATTGTGAGACAGCGTGTGCCATTTAATATTCCTGTTTATACAGGCAATCGTATTAAGATATATAGGTCAAGCAAGATAAGTTGATTAAATTGATTAAACTATAAAACTAAACAATCTTGATGTAGTAAATAATGCCTATTTAACAACGTTGCCCTCTGCTCTATAACCTGATATGCCTGGTGATGGCTATGTGGTACAATAAATGGCGCTGTGGACTGATAAGCGGATATAAAGTGAAGTAGTGGCTAACACCTGTTGATATATACCAAATATCACCCTACCTAGGTAATGGAGTCAGAACAATAAATGCTTGAATGTACGTGTGCGCCGACCAACGTATATTTTCGAATATCGGGAACATACGCGTGCGAATACGCTAATGTAACCGCCGTATATCAACGACTTTGCCCAGTGTTAAGCTTCGTCATGAGTTTACTGTCATCTAAGTATTGGCCTCATAACCTATACTAGTTACGTCCATGACTTATATTGTTATACGTCACGTTTATCTCTCAATTCATTTAATTGTAGTGCATGAACTAACACCAGGTGATATTGATATTGTTGCTGCTTTGGGGGACTCTATAACGGTAAGTGTGACCTGTATTTGTAATTTGTACGTCATTAAATAATTTAAAACAAAATAAAACAGTACCGTATTCCTTTATATTACGTTTTTTTCACAACACAGTATCCGAATAAATAATGAGAAGATAAGTCAACTAACGGTGTAAAGCGGACACTCTTCCCGACGAGTTACAGTGATACTATCAAATACAAATGTCTACAGTGGCATATGCATAATAATCTAATAACACGATTGAATTGTCATTTTATGCTTAATCGATATATTTGCAATGGTGTGTTGTCATGGGTTAACTTGGCACATTATAACGTAGTCACATAAAATATAAATACTAGTACATGTATTTGGACTTCCATGTTTACTTCTAGTGTGTGTTAATTGCATGTCATTTTCTCAGGCTGGCAACGGTGCTGGGGCTTCCAATCCCATACAAGTTATTCGCGAATATAGAGGACTATCATGGAGGTAAACCATTTCAATATATGCGGTTACTCTACATTAGCATGGCAAAAACATGGATATATAAATATATATTAATTGTTTGTTTTTGTTTTAGTATTGGTGGTGATGGTACAATGAAAGACGAAACACTTACTTTACCAAGTATGTATTGACCAATGACGTCATGTATCTACGTTAAATTATTCACAAATGCACTGTGGGTAACCATGGGAATGATCACAAAATTTATTTAGTTCTTGTTTTTTGTCGTTCTTTTAAATTCTTAAATTCATTTTGTGTACCATTTTTCAAACAAAATTAGTATTTATTTTAGTAATTTTTCATTAAATTGTGTTTCTCTGTAATGCATGGTCGTCTGCGCAATAAAAGACTCAGCACTGTGACTACCTATTACGATGTGAATTTAGACGTCTTATATGCCAGCCGTACTTGACTAGTCGTGTTAATTAATTTATCATTTTTTTAGATATTTTAAAACAATATAACCCGGAAGTGAATGGGTGGTCTGTTGGTATTGGACAAATAGAAGATTATAATATATCACGTTTGAATGTAGCTGAACCTGGAGGTAAATCCAAGTAAGTTGAATGTAAGCAACAATCACAAGAAACTTCGATGGAAATTTTGCTGTACAGATGTTGTGTTCATTTCCTGTGAATGTTCAATTCACCAAATAACCTATATTCTTGTTTACTTAGGGATCTCATGGACCAGACGCAAAACCTTATCGAAAGATTGAAACATGTTGATTGGCTGGACTATGATAATGATTGGAAAATGGTGACTATATTTATAGGCGCTAACGATCTATGTGCGTACTGCCACGAACCTGAGGAGTATACAGCGGAAAATTATGCAAAAAATGTTGAAGAAACATTGGATTACATGCATGAAGAGGTAAATCAATTAACCTTATTTTGTGCGTAGAGAATATCATATTCGGGCAATGTAATTTAATGCTTTATTATTATTTTATTACGACTTGAAATTGTTTCACAAATAAATATTAAATTGTGACTTATATGTGTTGTACAGATACCGAGGACGTTCGTTAACTTAGCACAAACCGTTATGGTAACTGAAATAAACAAACTGGATGGATGTTTTTGTGATCTACTACACCGGTAAGTAACCAGTAATTCTTTGTGCGTGGTCAGGGAAACCCTTCGCTAGAACGGTTTTCATTGATCATCGCGTCGGGTTTGTGTGTCAGATAGAAAAATTGTTTTGTCTTATCGGATGAGACACATGATTTCTGATATTGAAGTATGGATACGAGGACGCTAACTTCAGCTAACGGTCTGTTCGGGATCGAGGTTCTAGTAAACGTCCGAGGCCTGCTATATCGACGAGCCAAAAATTGGTATTACTCTATTTAGTGCATGTTATACCAACCCATCGTTGTATGTGGGGACATATGATATCTGTACTTAGTGCCAGTTTACCAACCCATTTTACTATGAGGGACCATATTGTTTTGTACCTCGGGCACGATTACTAACCAATTTATTTTGTTCGCTTTGTAGTTTCTCTTGTGATTGTGCAAAGGCAAAGTATTCTGATGACTGGAGAGAACTACTGAACTTGACAAATGCATATCATGTAAGTGAAATAACCAATAATATGTATTAATGTGATTATGATAATGAGATGAGGTCTCTCTGTCTTCGACAGTTTCGTTCCCATCACTAAATTATGTCTTTTATACAAAAATCAACACTTCTGACACACAACTGCAATCGAATATTTGTTTCAGAATATTTTGTTGGAATACATAACACAAGTAATTAATTTCAGTTCCGGCACTATGGAATACATTTCTATACTATTACGCCTAGTGTCAAGTCATTTAAGGTTCTCGTATTGTATTAGAAACTGCATTTGTCTTTGTTTATTTTGTCAGCGTGCATTGGAGACGTTGGTTGAAAGCGGCAAATATGATACACACGATAATTTTACTGTAGTTATCCAACCATTCTTCGAAGAGACACGTATACCTCCTGATGGTGTAAGTAGAATATTTATTCTCACCCAGTTTTCTGAAACCCGTGTCGATGTACGTCACTGCCAATCAGTCGTGTTTCTAAAAAGCATACATTTATATATAATACCTATATTACACTATCACTTCCATTATGTGTGTGGCCGATTGTGTTCTAGCCGAATAAAACTTTTTGTGACAAATTAAATCTATTTCTAGGAAGGTGGATGGGATGATTCATTCTTTGCGCCAGACTGTTTTCATTTCAGTGAATACGGGCACCAAGAAAGTGCCAAAAGTTTATGGAATAATTTGGTAAGATATACTTATATAATATAAATTGGTAATATTTCGGTTTTATTCAAAACTTCATTTCTAAACTAGTAAAAAGATGATTTGAACAATGCGAGATGGTAAATTTATCGAGTTATGAAAATTGAGTTACAAACATCCAGTTACGAAAACATCGAATTACAAAAACGAACAATTAGAAATTAACAATAAGAAGTTACAATTTGAGTTTTTAAAATATAGGAGTGGTCGTTTTTGTAACTCGATGCATGCAAACTAGAGGTGAGATTTGAGCAATGAATAATTGCATGTTAATATACCTATTATTAATTATACAGATAGAGCCAGTAGGACAGAAACGTACAGCTTGGCACCCTGACGACATTGTAGAATGCCCATCTGAGGTTAGTTACACCTATAATGTTACGTCATTATTTGTAAGAATATAACATTATAATACTGATAATAATATTATCTTGAACTAAAATGAATATTTATTTTCTGCCAACAGGATTTCGAATACTTTTACACCTATAAAAATTCACCAGAGATCACCACCTAACCTGCCGTGTAATGCAAGTGCTAACACCAGGACAGTACTATGACTTGTGTCTAGTACTATTGTTGTCAGATAAACAGTCTAACGATGTACGGGACAGAATCGTGAATAGTTACTAAAGGTCGTTCAATAAGAATAAGAAGTCACTATAATGGCATTTTATTGCTAACAAATCAGTATAATAAAATAGTTATCTATTGTAAGTTAAAACTGTAATGTAAATAATGTTATTGTTTCGCGGTAAAACTTCATGATGTGATTTCTCACAAAGTAAAACTATCGTTTTGGTTGCATAGTATTCGGTGGATGAAACACGGAACACATCGACTGCTCATGCGTACTGGGTTTATCTATACGTACAGATAATTACTAACTTGTGTTTGTGTATTTCATCGAACGAATTTGTAACATAATGTGTTTTATATCAAAATAAATTATGCTCAAATATACACAAAATTACCCACATTGCCTTTTTAATGCTGTTTATAATGTATGTCACTAAAATGTTAAATATGTCTTTATAAACAAAAACAGATTAAAAATAAATAAAAAAAACAAATTAAGTTTTGTATTTTTTATTATTCTCCAATCTAATTCATACATCTATATAATGATTTTGCTGAAAGTAAGTACAACGACAAGCAGACATATGCACGTAGATATTTTTAATTGCCCTAGTAACCTGACTGGGGACTATACCATCGACAATGACTTGTTATTTTCTGAATTTTAACCTTGTCAACCCAACCTGCAAACCACAGACATTGCTCTAAAACCTTTTCAAGGTGGCTACCACTCAATTCATATTTGTGAAGAGCACTCTAAAACGCAGATAATGGGGGAAATATTCTAGTTGTCTGTAAACTGTTACAGTGGCGGATCCAGCAAAATGTATTGGGGGGTGCAAGCTACGCTTAAGATATACGGAGCGTAAATCGCAGAGAAGCTATGCGTAATCCAGATCATATGAATCGTCATACGTTTGGGGGGGGGGGGTCCGCCACTGAACTGTTACACATTTCACTTGACATTAAATTATTAGCAATGTTCAACCAACACCTAACACAGACTCAAAAACACCCTGGCCTGAAAAGGAATTGATTATCGAATATAAGAAGTTGACCAATAGAAATCCAGTGGGGTATTTTGAAAGAAATTGTTTGCAATGTATGAGGTTTTGGAAAAATGATAGAAACAAATTCATACATTTAGAAAAGCAAACACTATTTTACGGCAACCAAGGGAAGAAACTCCCAACCAACCTTTAAATAATGACATACATGGGTATTGATTTCCAAATTCATCGTATCAAATCAGAATTATGACAACCGAATAGCAAATGAAATTTAGATTAACACTTCTATGCAAGTCGAATTAGCAAGTAGTTTATTGAAATTTAAGCGTAATTCAACCTGACACCAATAACGGTACTTAACAGTATACATCAGACAACTGTTCTCAAGCAATTCGGCGTTTTTATTTTGGCAGTTTGGCAGTAGGAATATATTTAAGGGCGTCTAAAACAATGCTTCATTCGTATCAGGACCATCCTTCAGACAATTTATGTCACTAAATGAGGAGGATGCTCGTAGTGAACTAATACAGGCGTGAAGCGACGGGCAATGTGACGAAAACCAAAATAAAACGGTTGGGTGATGTGTTTCAAATAAAATTTCGCCATCGCTTGCTCAGAAATATTAAACATGGCGGCATGTATGTACATACACGTTGTATTACACCTTGTACGCCAACAACAAAATGTAACGGAAAAAGAAATAGGACTGACATGATGAGTAAATAACTGAATTGCAGATCGACTATTATAACACTGAACAAAACAATACTGCAACTGTATTTACCCATGTCTTCGTAATTCAATGGTGCCTGGGCATTTTATTGAAAAGCATGACCGACACCAACCATCACCGACTTGTGACCTACATTTATATTTACAGTGAACACTGCCACAGTGTTTATTATTATATTGCTAAACTTATTTTAGTAGATGTACACACGGTATATGACTATTTGCATTCCTATCGTCTCTCTTGGTACGCAGCGACAAGATAACATACATGTGTCTCGACGACCTGAATGACCTATTTACAAGTTTGTATCAGATCGAATTTCACCCATATCAACATAACATTGCACAAAGATACTATGATTTGACTCTATGATTGCTTACTACAACGTTTTCGTTTTTTCTAGGCTTCCTTCATTTTTACACTTCCTTATTTCACGGTTTCAATGTGTTCCATACACTTTCTCATATATTTCCATCTTCTTATGTTTCAAACATTTCATATATGTTGACTTTGTTTAGTGTTAATAAATTGATTTGCTGTAATGAAATGAAAAGGTCGTTCTTAACAATTCATCGTGTCCAGATAACTCAAGTAATTTTTTCCCAATATTTTCCTAAGATGTGTATACTTGTGTATCAATAAATGTACAATCTTTCAGCAATTGGATGTTAGCAAGTCTGGCACATATATTATCTAAATGTTGGTGGAAATGAATCTGCATTGGCTTAACATAAGATGTACTTGACATGGTGTGGCATTTAATCGGCTATACTTTGATATGATCTTAAAACCCATTCACCTATAATATAGTCATTGTCTATAACGGTATATAATGTGTAATGTTACTTAGAGGGAGTGGGTTTTATAAATCATTTTCCCCTACTAAAATTCATTGTAAATTTTCCCTGCAAAATTTCACTTTTGTATAATATTGTTTGTGAGCTTGTACACAGTCCCCGATCTTGCACTTTGCGCTGCAACCGTAGCTAAGCTTGGCCTGCCTGGGAGATTGGAATAAGAATTAGTTATATTAACTAGGCGGAAGGTCAATGTGCATTTAGATTTCGTCACATAACAGGTAAAAGGAGGGCAGAGAAAAAGGTATATTTTTACGTGAAGAAAAATCATGTACAATTATAGGTAGGAAGGTAGTTTTGAAATTGTTCAGGGAGGGGACAATGTAGAACTCTTGAGCGAGGGTGGGGTATTTTAATTCTAGATTTGTAGTGTGTTAGTGACCACTTTGTCAATTTAGGTTAACTAAACACGTTACTTTTTGACAATGCACACTCTTGATTAATTTCAAATTCGTGATTAAACATGCTTTTGTGGAACTGGTCATAGAAATACATCATCGACTGGGGGAGGGCAAGGAACATTTCTGCATAGAAAATAAAGGATTACTATAACAGAATTTCCAGGCTGAGGGAAATAAGTCAGTTCAATTTTCTGTAAAACCTTTTTCGCTACAATAAACAGTTTTTTAAAGTTAATCACTAGTTGGCTGCACCTATATAACAGACCAGTTTGTGTGAACAGACGCGTGGACACAGGCACACTGACAAAGCAATGCAATAATCAATTAAAGTCCCTCCGTTGTATTTTTTTCGATTAGGTTAATAACGCTGCAGGCTTATTCCAAATTTCATAATGTACATCGCCCACTACCCATGTTTACACAAATTTGTACATTTAATTATCTTTGGCGTTTTATATATATTCACACATAAATATCACGTGATACAAAAACCCATACAAATGTAAAGGAAAGTTCCCTGCTATCTAGAGTAACGTGCGTCCTCAATCAACGCCTAAATTCCATTTTAATTTATTTTGATTTGATAAAATAAAACATTTGTATATGTGGTGTCAAATTCTATTGATCACTGACCCGAACAAGTGCTTTGCGAACATGTTCATTTGCAGTTGTCAGATGGGGTCTGACCACTTCATAACCACTATCATGAGGAGATGTCTCCCGGGTCACAGTCTCTCTATCACAGTTTATTGCACTCATAATTAGTGGTGTATCAACACTATCTATCACATGATACATGATAAATGTGACGTAATGACAATGTAAACAAACCATCATGGGAGGAGTCTAGAACGCTTCACTGTTGGAACAGCTCAGCAGATCAGATGCAAACATCCTTACCTGGTCAACCATTCCTGGTCACTTCATAACAAACATGAAGTTGTTTCTTGTTTTTATTCTGACGATTGTATCGGTGTCATGCGTAGAAAAGAATTCCACAAATGGGTGTAAGTGAAATTATATTTAAAATATGTATTTATTGCAATCATTGTATATCTAGTTTAGTCAGCAAATGTCCTGTATATTCATAATATATTTTTTTACGATGAAAATTATTATAATCATACTGTTCATTAATTTTCTGCAGACTGGGAAAGATTCAGCCGCTTTATGGAAGAATTTGGACCTATTGCTGAGGACATAATCGCCAAAAAGACACCAGCTATTCCTGTAAGAACTGGCTCACTTGACTATGCTTTACATGCACTTATCTACTCTTATATTCACAAGTAATACAACTTTAATATTTTTGTTTATAGAGGAAACAGGACTATACATTTGACTGTGAAATTCTACCTCCATCTGATACAACACCTACTTCCGGTGAGTGAAGAAATTGTGATTATTTCAATTCAATGTGAACATTGCACTTTAAAGTTACCTCTATGTTTATTTTGTAACACATTTATCGAATATAGCTCCTAGCAATAAGGTATGTTTTTTTAATTTTATTTTGAGATTGTTAACCACCAAGACGCCTTTTAATAAAGGTATACACTGTTACCTATATATTTTACACTTTGACCTGACTCGTCTATATATACTAGCCTATATTGCCCAATAAATGTCGCTTTGGACTGATAAACAGATGCGTTGAAGTGCGGGTTAATACATGTTGATATGTACAAATGTCACTATACTGGGTTAATCGAGACTGCTATACTTCAATGCAATTGGAGTTGCGCCCTCAGTCGACACTCACAGAGGTAATGACCTCATAACAGATACAAGTTAAGTCTTGGCTTCTCTTGTTATTCTTACGTATTTCACGGTTATCTTTTAATTGTAGTCCATAAACTGCGACCCGCTGATATTGATGTTGTTGCCGCTTTGGGAGACTCTTTAACGGTAAGTATGTGATTTATGAAAGACAGACACGGATTCATGGACACTCGGAGCAAAGTAAAATTTGTCTCCAATATTAAGTTCACGTCGTATGATATATTAGATTGATGATTTGATAGTATATAGCGCACTTTTTACAATTCTTGTCTTCAGTTGGTCTGGGGCTATTTAACTCACTAACTTTACTGCAATACGGATGAATATGCAGTTTTGTCGTTAACTGCACTGTCAAAAGAAGCATCAAAACTATGTATTGGCAATGTGTTGTAGTGAATGCATGATATTATCGTGTTATTATAATTCATTCATTTGTTTAGACAGGCTGCTAATGGTGCCGGTGCGTCAAATCCCATACTAGTTCTACGAGAGTACAGAGGACTATCATTCAGGTAATATAAATGTATTCATCACACATCACACAGAGTTCTACTGGCAGTGTTTGAAAACATCAGATTTATAATTACTCCGACCACTGTATGCCTCTCTGACGTTAGCATATTCAAACTACAGCATGATCGTCTTTATTTTTTATGTGATTTTTGTTTTTTTTGTTTTAGCATTGGTGGTGATGATACCTTAGAGGATGGCGTTCTCACTTTACCAAGTATGTAATAAATCTCATAATGTGTGCACAATACTGCTGACTGGGCACCACGGATAATTCGTTCCGTAAATTCAAATCCTCAGTAATTATCTCTTTAAAGACGAGAAGCATACTTTATTAATAAATTCTACACTTGTATATGATTTCTTGGTGATTCTTGTCGGATATAAGATGATTTGGTATTGGAAGAAATCCATTTCATGATCAGTGAGCACAAGACACTATTTGTTGCTAGCTGTTTTTACAAAAACCAAATATCACATCAATTGCAGAATTGTAAGACATACATATAGAAGTAATGTATAGTGTAATTGCATAAACATTTGTTTTCGTATGTAGATATTTTAAAACAGTATAATTCAGAAGTAACTGGGTGGTCTGAAGGAATAGGACGAGTCGATAACTATGAAGTATCAAGATTGAATGTGGCAGTACCAGGAGGGAAAGCAGAGTAAGTTAACTGCAATTAACCATAACATTTAACACCCTCACATGTTTATGAATATGATGAAGATAAATTATTTCTAATAATTGTTTATGTATGTAGTTGATGATTATGATTACATCCATGAAAAATATTTAATTTTAAGTCGCTAGTGTTTACCATATCGCTGTGCGGTTTCCAATAATTAGAACACCTGATTCACGATCTAGATTAATTGTATACATTTCACTTTTATTGGCGAATTACAGTGAAATACTGTTACGACAGAGATCTCGAGCAAAACAGATGCAGCCCGTAGCTATCAAACAAAACTGCCTACCTCAGCCAAAATTGTACCCAAGGTGAAACCAACAAACTACAAAGTTATGTAGTTAAAAATGAAATGATTAAAAGTAGAAGCAAAACTTTACACTGTAAGCTGGAAATACAGCTACTAAAAAGACTCAGTTGACTCTCAAGCAAAAGGCCGCCAACGACATAACATACACAGTGAAGAAGACGCACAGACACCTAAAGCACAGACAACTTAATTCACCTGGGTGAAGATGGCATTATTTTGGTGGGTATCTTCACCCTGATTCGCCAACTTTGACAATAAAGTAGGATGTCATCATTTAATTATTAAACTTTTAACTCGATCGAATTTTTGTCAATTATTCTATTTTTCCGACCGACTTAAACGAGGGTGAAAGTCAACTTTTGGAACAAATCTTAATGTTTATGTCTGACATATAATATGATACTCAAGCTACATAAACTCTTGTCTTCAAACGACCAGAATTCTAATGTAGACTAAATAATACCAACCAGTTTAAACAGTATATGCAACTCAATTTACTGCTGCAGCAAGCAAAACTCAGTACAATCAGCGCGTAGATTCTGCAATCAGTTACATGTACCTTCTGTAGTGTAAATATTTGTTTGATTTTAATATGTTTAACAATTTTATGACGTAAAACTATTCCAATTTATAGGCTATTTAAAATAGTCTATATCGGATATAAAAATTGTACATTTTTACTTTTCAACTATTATTTATTTTTGTTCTTTCTTGGTCCCATAATTTTACTCAAAACTGTTACTATTGTATTTTAATCCATAGAAAGCACTTGGATAATCAGCTTAAAAAAATTAACTATTCTAGATATTTTCTAATGACGAAGTTGAGCCATATTTACTATTGATGCAACGCAACAGAACGTAACATTGGTGTTGTCATACCTTTGTTGCCAGTCTCTCTAAGGAGTGAATTAGGCAAGGGATTGACATGTTCTTGTTCTTCCAAATCATGAGCACGTATTGCAAAGGACAGCGATATAGTGTTGAACGACAACACGTACAAACACATATGCAAGTCAAGGGGTTAGTATGAGTGATATGTTTTCTTTCACGTTTATACAGTGATATGTATGATCAGACAGTGGACCTTATCAACAGATTGAAAACCCACGAGTCATTGGATTATGAAAATGATTGGAAAATGGTTACTCTATTTATCGGTGGCAATGACCTGTGTGCATACTGCCATGACCCAGAAGACCACACTGCGGAACAGTATACAAAGCACATTAAAACGGCGTTAGATCTGATGCATGCAGAGGTAAAATGAACAAAGGGTCGATATGTCGAACGAGGAGGAGGTCTATATATTTTCGCCTCTTTAATGTTAAACCACAGTAATGTGCCATACATACTTACTGTCCAAATGAGTTTCAAGACAGTTATCACATAATCATTTATGGAAACGATATCACGGTGTGTGAACCAATAGAAATGATGTAGTCGTGAAATTCATAGTGACGATATTTTTGGTTACTATAAACAATACAAATACAAATGTTGAGACATAATAATGAGCTGCATCTACTCAAACACAAATTTATAACTTTATTTGTTATTTTACATGATCATATGTTTTAAACTGTCACCAGGGGCTGTGTTGTTTAATTCTTTCACTTTCTTGTACAGATGCCGAGGACTTTCGTTAATTTAGCGCAGACCGTGCTGGTTACTGAAATCAATAAATTAGATGATTGCTTTTGTGATCTTATACACCTGTGAGTAATCTGAACGAGTTTGTACCTGAGACAATGTTGTTGTTTTTTTTTGTATATAGGATTCCACTCTATAATAAAGTATTGCATATATTTATTGTTATTTAATTAACCTTTTTGCAGTTTTCTCTGTGACTGTGCCAAAGCAACGTGGTCCGATGACTGGCAAGAAATTCTAATACTGGCAAATAAATATCATGTGAGTGGTCGATATTGTATATATATATATGTGTGTGCTATATTGTATACTGACGAAGTCCCATCATGCTGTCTACACTTAACGGGCACACATTCCATTCGAAATAGAGAATATTACCATAACCACCTTAATATATTCATTTTTTTCAGCAATGTACAATTTCACATTGTATTAATACATACAGTCACATATGACGTATCGTTACTATAGCAACACGACAAATAGCTATACAGTGTTACAAACAACTATATATATACACGAGAATACAAAATGCGTATTTTGTTTATTTCCCAGCGTGCATTAGAGGAGTTGGTTGAAGATGGTAGGTATGACACAAGAGAAGATTTTACTGTAGTTATCCAACCATTTTTTGAAGAGACACGCATACCTCCTGACGGTGTAAGTATCATGTATTCTCACTTTCTAAAATCCATGCCAATGGATGGATGTCATAATTAATGAAGATGATTCTCTTCACATATTATTTCGTAATCGCTGGTTTTACACTTCTCTTCAAATTTAATGGAAACTGTACGGGGCCACAATGCACCCACACCCAGTGTACCGAAAGCACAATCTTCTGTTTATTTTAGCATATCCTGTCATAAAGACAATGAACACATTTCCATACAATAACTTATTATACATAATACACATAAACAATAATATATCTTATTTCTAGGAAGGTGGATGGGATGATTCATTCTTTGCGCCAGACTGTTTTCATTTCAGTGAATACGGGCACCAGGAATGTGCTAAGAGTTTATGGAATAATTTAGTAAGATATGTTAACATTATAATAAATTAATAATATTTCGGTTGCATTCGAAACTAGAAAGATTGTAAGAACAAAGGAAGTGTATACAAATTAGAGAGATGATTTGAACAATGCATACTTGCATGCAAACTAGAAGCGAGATTTGAGCAATGACTAATTGCATGTTAATATACCTATTATTAATTATACAGATAGAGCCAGTAGGACAGAAACGTACAGCTTGGCACCCTGACGACATTGTAGAATGCCCATCTGAGGTCAGTTACATACATAATGTTCACAGTTTAATTTACGTCGTTATTTGTAATAAATAAAAACACTGGATAATTTGGTAATATAATAATGTTTTTTCTTCTATCAACAGGATTTTGAATTCTTCTATACATATAAGAACTCAGACAAAACCCCGCAACAACCAGAACCCGTGTCGCAAGCACATATGGTAACCATGACACCCATGTTATTAGTTCTGTTTACTGCCACGGTTCTACAAATATGTGTATGATACGTTTGTGGTTATGGATGAGTTTAATTTGTTGGCATAGCAACTGCCACTTTAGACACAGTAAATACTTCAACTCGTGCAAACATATTGTTGCGTTGAGTTTTGATGTTGACTAAAGAGCGATTTTATAGCTATCTACTGTGAGTTAATACTGTGTTTTATAAATATGCATGTCTCGAAGTTGTTGATTAATTGTATGTATGACAAATATACACACAATAATGTTAATAAACAAAAACCATAACATAACAATGAGTGATTGCAAACATTTTTAGTGCGAGTATTGAACATGTACTTGAAAAAACCATAGCGAACAAACAAACAAACAAGTAACAATCTGCACCGGAAAGGTTCACTTAGTCCCAGCGGATAGCTGATACTCGATTGAACGACATTCTTGACCTTTATCTGATTGAGGATTAGTCTGGACCTTCCAGATATTAGGAACTGACCGAGATCGAATTATCTTTGAGCGAAGTAAAGACTTCTGTGTGACTAATCATCCCCATATATTACATATTACAGAATACATTTTAACCTGGATCCTGGTGTTTTGTACACATTTCGGCTACTCTTATATGTACATTTTATTCCTATGGTTTTATAGTTAATCTGTATATAACTGGTTGGAACACCCTAAATTTGACCCATTCGAAGTTCAAAGACTTTGTCTATGCCTCTTCTATTTCTGACGTTAAAAAGCATACTGGCATGCGTCGTCAATATGAATGGTTGGAATAACCATTAAAGGTGGGGGATGGCGGGGTTGGCAAAAATATGGTATAGTTGTTTTACAGGTTAATATTATAATACATTACAGTAAAACGTAAATAATGAAAAATGTAAAAATAGGTGAAGTTGATTTACCAGATATCTCGATAATTACAAGGATGTATCACCTGACTAGCTAAGAGTTGGTGGTGGTTGGGCTGGTAGCGGGGGAGGGGGTTGTTCCATCAAGCAACGATAGACTGGAACATGATATCCATGATTCTTTGTGCTAGGTCATAAATAGTCATAAGATGGTCCTTATGTGGATCTTGCGTATACCTGCTCTAATAATAGTATGCACGTTTTATGAACAATGAACACAAATTTCGAATGTTCGAGTACTTTAATAGCATATTCCATTTGAAAATATGATCCCCTTTCCTTTACGAATTGTGTGGCAGGATTCACTGAAGTTCTTCAAAAGTGTGACAATTTCCGCAAAATAAATACCTATAGATTGTTGGGGCTGTGAGTCAGTCAGATTAAGCTCACGGGCTTATCTGGGATATAAAGTCCTCGGAGTTTGGTGTTAAACCATACACGATTTAACATACGATTACATGGTATCTCAGATGTAGCGGAGATATTGCCAACACCAAAAAAGTCCTTTCTTGAATAAACGATGATGACACATTCTGAAATTATTATCTAGGGCGCTTGTTTCCCGATTTGATTAAACAAGTATTTGAGTATTTAAGTATTTGAGTTGACCATGTTTATTTTTTTAATAAACTAATGAAAATAATAAATTCACATACATTAAAATAAGAATATACTTTTAGACATTGAAACAAAATAATTAATTGTCTTAATACTCATATGAAGATATAGCGAATTATGTGTATTGTTAAATGCCATATTTATTGTTGTAAAATTTTAAAATAAATTTCGAAATCAGTGAAATCGAACAAGAGTTTCATTCTTGAAAATATATTTTATCGGACTAGATAATGATAAACGACCTAATAACCAGGCAATTTGTGTTCAGTTCAAGTAAGCCTTTCCATTCGAATTCATTTTATATACAAGCCAAATGATTCCAAGGAAACAGACCAATAGGAGTATAGACAATATCACAATCGCCGTGATAAAAGCGCCAGTATAGTCTTCACATGTCGTAGTAGGCTCATCATCAACCGGATATGACGTTGAGACGTCACTCAGCGGATTGGCAGTTGTAGTTGAAACTCGAAAATTAAGGTATGTATAAAAGTATTCGAAATCCTATAAAGAGAGAATACCAAGTTTAATGATTAACATGTTTAACTGTATAACCATGGATATATAAAGATATTAGCAATATCCAGCGAGCGTATATTATATATCTAATATGAAATAAACTTTTCTAGAAACACGTGGTTTGTTTTACCTCTGATGGACATTCCAATATGTCACCTGGACGCCATGCTGTCCGTTTCGCACCCACTGGTTCGATCTAAAAGATAAGAAATATGTATGCCAAGTTAAAAGATTTAATTAGTTTATTTAGTTTTAAAATGTACGATATCCATATATGGTCTCCAGCCCATCACGTTAATCATTTGTATAGCTGTTTACCATATTATTCCAAAGGCTCATTGCACATGCTTGATGTCCATATTCGTTGAAATGAAAGCAGTCTGGTGCAAACATTCTATGATCCCAACCACCTTCCTAGAAGGCAAACACATTCTCCTGATTAGCGAATCGTAATCGATGAAATAAGGTAGACACTATTATCAACAAATCACAAATGAAAAATACTTACACCATCGGGAGGTACATATGTCTCTTCAAAAAACGGTTGAATAACAACCGTGAAATCTTCTCTCGTATCATATTGTCCCGTAGATATCAAAGTTTTCAACCCCGTCTGCAGTTATTTTGGATGAGAATTTAATTATCATTTATATGTCAAACATTTATTTTAGGTGTGGTTCAAATAACTAAGATCACCAGTTTATAAGTTAAAATTAATTTCAAAAAAGATGTAAAATATGTAATACAATGAATATTACATCATGACAGTTCAATGGGAAGACTTACATGGTAATCCCATGTCAACTGTAACACATCCTCCCAGTCGTCGTTATGCCATTGCTTTGCACAGGTGCATAGTGAGCTGTAAATACAACAATTCTTAAATTAAGACACAAGTATTATGGCGTGTAAGGCGAATGCGTAGCACATATAAACGCGAAATTATAATACAGTGAACTTACAATTGATTACAGTAAGAAGTATTGAACTTGTTAGTTTCTGTCACAACTACTGTCTGAGCTAAATTGACAAATGTCCGCGGCATCTGTTGAGTACAAGTCAATACATTAGATAGGTTTATGTGTTATATTTGTTTGTGTACATTATTATTATTATAATATCATTGGGAACAATAATCTATTCCTGATCTATGTTGTTGCACATGTTGGGGTCGTCATGTTAAACATACAAACAACAGGAAAGTCTTAAATAGTCTGCTAGTTTCATGGCATATGTAAAATTACATCGGAGTCTAGAGATAGTTGTTATTGCTTCGAGTCATTGTTGGTGTGCAGTACATTATTATTATTATTATTATTATTATTATTATTATTATTATTATTATTATTATTATTATTATTATTATTATTATTATTATTATTATTATTCATCTGTCACCGTAACGACATAAGTTACAGTGTGCTGTAATTTTACGGTATTTTACGGGGTATTTTCATCCTAACTGTTTGGGTTTCTGCATTCCTATGATTTATCCTTGGAAGAATCCAACCTGTACTAATTTGTGTTGAGTGATCACAAATCTATATTTCAATGCTGCAAGCACAAATTGGCACAGCTACATATACAATAACCTAAAATACATCTGAAAAATAAAAATACCTCCCCTAGGTTCCTAATTATTGTTTTCATTGATATTATTTGACCTTCCTTTCTTTTTTTGTATTCATTTAATTATCCATTTTTCATTTTAGTCATATTTTTTTATATTTTTAGTTTATATTATGCTAATAATTTGACAGATTTGCATACGACCAAGAAAACCATTTTAACTTTCATACCCAACCCTGAACAAAATTGTTCATTTCATTTACATTACTAACATGGTAACAATGACCTGTCAAATTTTTAACACTAAAATTCTATTAGTTAGGACCGTTACAATTCTCACAATATGAACTAAAAATAAGAAAAAAAAATACAAGTAATACCGTTTGATGCATATAATCCAAGGCTTCTTTAACATTTTCTGTATATTGTTGAGCGGAATGTCTTTCAGGAAAATTGCAAGACGCACATAAATCATTACCACCGATAAATATTGTCACCACTTTCCAGTCATTGATGTAGTCCACTGAATCAGCAAACAGTAAACGTTCAACAAGATCTTCAGCTTGGCGCCGCATATTTCTACAAATATATAATAGTCAAATATTTGAATGTCAATGAAATTTACATAACAATGATCATATATCAATGTGCATATTATAAATGAGATAACAATCAAGTATATATCTGATATGAATCAATATTATAAATGAGATAACAATCAAGTATTTATCTGATATGAATCAATATTATAAATGAGATAACAATCAAGTATTTATCTGATATGAATCAATATTATAAATGAGATAATAATCAAGTATATATCTGATATGAATCAATATTATAAATGAGATAACACTCAAGTATTTATCTGATATGAATCAATATTATAAATGAGATAACAATCAAGTATATACCAGCGTGAATCACTATTATGAATGAGATAAGAGTCAAGTATACACATGTATGAATCAATATTGTAAATAGATATTAATCCATACAAAGAAAATTCATAGCTTACGTCGATCTTGATCCTGGAATTGCAACATTAAGTCTTGAGATGTTATAGTCTCGACTACCACCAGTCTCCACGGACCAGCCCTTCAAATCAGCATTGTATTTACGCAAAACATCTATTTAGAAAACATTAAGCACATTTTTCGGACAAATAATAGTGTACATTTTTCTTCATAATGCATAAAATTAAAATAACCTAAACTATCCGCAGTCAAAAGAAACTTTATAAATCCAAAAACACAAAACAACTGACACACGGTATTTATGAGTCAACCTACTTGGAAGTGTGAGAACGCCATCCTCCAAACTATCATCACCTCCAATGCTGAAAACGTTATATAGAACGAAACGGGTTACAAACAATATTAAAACATAACACGTGATATAATATTGTTTGTTTGTATGTGTTACCTTACCTCCATGATATTCCCCTGTATTGAGTACTAATTGTACTAATATTTTCTGATTTTGCTCCGAACCCCGCCTGCAACTCGAATAAATTGTTCAAACAAGAATGATTATTACAAATAAATTTTGACAAG